TCTCTCTCTCTCTCTCTCTCTCTCTTACCCTCGTTACCAATTCACAACCCTCCTTGTCCCCTGCAGATCAGCACGGCCACTTTCCTCACAACCCTTGCCCCCCCACCGCCCCGCTACCCTTCAAGCCCCAGAGGCTCAGACTCCGCTTTGCAGATGCAGCTGTTCTGTCCACCCTGAGAGGCCCTGAGCACAGTCCTGCGGCTACCAAGGCAGTTCCCACTGTAGCAGTAGGCCAGGGGAGCGGCACAGATAGAACCTCATTCTGGAGATGCACTGGATGGCGGTGCTGGGGGCTGAGACGGCCTCTGTTTGGAGAATGTTTGTTACCTGCACTGCAGAGATGCTCCTGGGAACTGCAGCCTGACTGCAGCTGTGTGGAGGAGGGGGGACCACTGGTGGGGTGGCTTCTCTGTGCCTCGATGCCTAGACATCAGAATGGTGGACAGGAGAGCTGGCCGGGCTGAGTTGACCGGAACTATGAGGCTGGACCTTGAGGCTCCTGTCCCCAGGCTACCTCCTTTTGGTCATGTGGTCCTCTCTGCTGAAGGAGTCTCCGGGGAGCCGACCTTCTGTGCCCCCTGTGCTTCCTCAGAGGGAGGTGACAGCGGCCAGTCCTCCTTGGGTTTGGGCTCAGGACCTCAGAGCATCACTTCTGCCATCCTAGGAAGTCATGGGAGGGAGCAAATAGACCACCTCCTGAAGGGTGGGGACTTCTGTCTAAAGAGGAGGACATGTGGGAAAAGCCTCCGATTAGACCCCTCAGATTAGCCTCAGATCAGAAAGGATGCAGGGAGGCAGGGCGACGACGGCTTCCTTCCAAGTTGAGTCCAGGTCTCCAAACCTAAACCCGAAGCTTTCTGCTCTCGGTGGGTCCCGGTGCGTTGCTTTCTCTCCTTCCTAAGTCCAGCACTCTAGAGGATCGCTGTGGTGACCTCTCGTTGCTGGGGAATCCAACATCCACCCTGGGTCCGGCACATCTGAGGGCGATGTGGGCGTCCACCTCAGTGCTCCGTACCGAGATGAGCATTTGTGCACTCTTTCCCAGAGAGCAGAAGTCTCCACCGGGGAGCGCCCAAGCGGGCGAACTCCTTCCGCAGGTCTTCGACTGCAGCCAGCCGGGATGCGGGACGGAGCTGAGGAGCGGGCTGCTTTCCCCAGCCGGTCCCACCCTACTGCACAGGCAAAGGCGCGGGTGGGTGGGGATGGCAGGAGTCGCTCCGTCTGTGATGCAGGGCTGAGAAAGGAAGCTCAGGCAGGGCCGCGACATCCTCTGTGCAGACGTCAAGCACCTTGTGACGCCAGCCTTCGGGGCTGACATGCGTCTGGCCCGGCGCCGCGACAGAACGCAATGCAGGCACAATCTGATCTTCCTGTAATTGTCTACTTAGCTTGGCTATCCAGGCTAATGTTTTCCTGTGAAGCGAGCCCAGAACATCCCTGGGACAGCGGCTGGGTTAATTAATGAGGCATAATAACGTGCATAATAAAAGCTTATGATCTGGATTCTCTTCCCGCTATTCCCCGCTCTGCTTCCCGCTGCGGACAGCGGCCTCGCCGGAATCTGTGAGTCACGCTTTGTTAAGAGCCTCTTCTGGTAAACAACAGAGAGGGGAGAATAATAACTTGAGGACCATCTGTTTGAGTCCTTGACATTTTTTTTACATTTCCCCCCACTGCATGTTAAAGGAAGTAAATAGGAAAAAAACTTCTAATTATATTGCTGTTTACTGATTACAGGATAACTTTAATTTATTTATTTTAAATACCACTATGGCCCAAAGCCTTCGCGTCTTTCTTCTGACTGCTTCTTCCAGCCGAATCTCCCTGGAGTATGTGGCCAAGTGCATGTAGCTTTGAGCTGGCTGGAATCGGGGGCCAGGGTCTCCGAGGCAGCCACGAGGAAGGGCTGGCCAGGTCCCTGAAGTCAGCTGAGAAAGGAAGTATCTTCCCAGGGGCCAGGGCACACAGGGCAAAAAGCACAGCGCTGTGTCTGGCAGTCTCAGAAGGGAGGCAGTGTGCTGCGAGCGGAGCCGGCCCTAGGCCTGGTTGGAAGGCAGCTCTGCCCACCGAGGACGCCCTGGAGCCCGGGGAAGCAGTGCGGTGTGGGCCGTTCTCTGTGTGTGATGCCCCAGGTGTGACCCACCCTTTGGATTCCAGGGCCAGCCGATGACTGGACCTAGCAGGGCTGAATCTCAGTGCTCCCACACCCAGTCCCTGCTCAGAGCAGGCAAAACACATGGCCTCGGCCTCAGGGCCTGGCCGTGCCACTCTGCCAAGCAGCTGTCACAGCCCATGCCTTACTTCAGCTGAAAATTCCTGAATTCATGACTCCAAAATTTTTCTAAAAACGAGCGTGCTTCTTGATCAAAGTCAAAACTTGTCTGAACTTTTGCCCAAGAAACAGCACGAGCTGGATACCGCCTGGGCATGATGGTAGAACTCGTGCTGGGCTCTTGGCACCACCAAGAGCCCAGAAGTCAGAAGCTCCTGGGGCCAAGGGCTGGGACAGCAAAGCCACATTCCTTGTGAGTCACAGGCGGTGCCATCACAATCCTGCTTCTTGCTATGGCCAGTGTCGGGGAACTGGGCACAACAGGAAGCCATGGCACTCATCAAACAGCCAGCCTGGCCGCTCCTGACCCTGCCAGGTGAGTCACCGGCACACCCATGGGCAGGGACGCGGGGGCTTCCGTCCCCTCAGTAATCCATGTCTGACCTCCGGGGCCTGTGACAAATGCTTCGACTGTTGCCCAACAGCCGTATAGAAACACTCCTTTAATTACATATTTTAAAATTAAAGCAAACAGAAAAAATTATTTTGAGAACTAGCTAAATATAAAATTGCTAGAGAAGGAAAAATGGATATCACTGAAAATATCAACCAGACATTGTAAAATTAAGGCTTAGTGTCACTGATTCCTTTGTTCTGTTTCAGAGCACAGAGGTGCAGATCCAAGCACAGACACGAAGTGAATCTGCTAAGGGTTCCCAGGGTCAGGTCACCAGCTCTGTGTATGCACTGGAGGAATCCAAGACGGAGATACACATGGCTTCAAGACACCATCGGAATAGTGTGTGACAGAAGGCAAAAGAGGAGAGGGAATTCAGATTGTGGGGTGTTTAAGGAAATCACAGCTTTGCATCCGGAAGGAGGCAGGGTTACATCACCTCCTGATTATGTGGGACTATTCTTCAGGTGGCACAGAGGCAGGCTTTACCCCGTCTGCCATTCCTTCCCTGGGATTGGTCTTTTACAGTTAGGTGACCTTATCCCTTTGGAAGAAAGTCAGTTTATAATGCAGGAGTCCAGATAAGCACAAAAGCAAATTCCTTACAGCACAAGGCTGAGTGCAAGCTACATGCCATGCCCAAGGCCAGAGGGAGGCATCCAGGAAGGCTACTCAGGAAGAGGTATTTTGAAGTGGGCTGGGAGCCGTTGGCCGAGGGCTGCTCTTTCTCTACTTCCAGGGTCAGTTTCTATGACCAAAGTCCCTGCTCAGCCCTGGGAATAGCACTGTCTCCTTTGTTTGTGACCTTGCTGGGCATCTTGCACAGCCTGCTGCCACCGCATGCCCAGATGCCACTCTGCTCTGCACCAGAGCCGCGTTCCCCACTTTTGTCTCCCCTGCCCTTTGTCTCCCTGCTTCTCAAATTAGCCTGGAGCAGGATCTGAGCAGAGGACTCGGGAACCCCAGCCCTTCCCTCAGCAGCCCTCACAGTGCTCCCCTTGTTTCTGCCATGTCTCTGCCCAGGCACCCTCCCTCTCGCCGTGAGGACCCCTGGTGGCCCTGGTTCGATGCAGCCATGGTCAGGGAGGACACTCATCAGAGGCGGTCACTGTGTCTGAGCTGTCGTTGACTGTGTGGGGCTCTGTTCTACTGACAAGCAACAGGCAAGGCCAAAGGA